TACCTAGCGTAAGTAAATGTGTGGTTTCACGCTTTCCTTAGAATTTGGTTTCTTGCATCTATACCGTTGCCATACTCGAAAGTGTATATGTTCTGTTACTCGTTTCTTGGCTACAGTGGGCATGAACCCGAGAAGAGGGCTATCGGAGTTGTTGATCGCTGGAAAGGACAGCGTAGTCCTTAAAGATTCTCTACCAATCAAAACAATTAAAGCACTCCATAAAACATACAGTGACGAATACTTTTGAGTTACTGTATCTGTCAACATTTTACATGTTATTTTTTTCGCTCTAAAGTAAGCCAAAAGTGTTCATACTTTCCATTTGCCATGAAAGCTATGCATGAAGGTCGTGTATCTTTCGATTCGTAGACACAGCAGTTGTGTATATTTGATGCATTGGTCATCAGTGGCCCACAGATCAGATGAATGGTTACCCGTGCCCCGTTCAGCGTTGTATTTTGAGACTGGATGGGGGTGAAGTATAGTGCGTGCATCCTGCGGAAGGATATATGCTGCGTTAAACGGGAAAGGATAAATGACAAAGATCTTACAAATACGAGGAGAGCGTATTGACATCAATCTTTCCACATTTGGTTGATCTGACTTTCACATTCAGTGTTTCAACGGAAATATTGGTTTGTTTTTACATTTGTTGTTTAACGCCGCACTCAACAATATTCCAGCTACATGACGGCTGTCTGTAAATAATCGAGTCTGGACCAGACAATCCAGTGATTGACATCAGGAGCATCGATCCACGCAATTGGGCTACGATGACATGCACCAACCAAGTCAGCGAGCCTGCCCACCTGATCCCGTTTGTGGCCTCTTATGACAGGCATAGTCGCCTTTAACGGCAGGCATGGGTTGCTGAAGACCTATTCTGTCCCGGATCTTCACGGGTCTTAAACAGAAATAATGTGTATGGAATACTAAAGAAACACTGACTAGGGGACATCGGTGGTGTTTGATGCAGTGAAGGTTGTGTTCATGCGCCTTTGTTCGATGAACACAACCTTCATCGTCCTTGGTTCGATTCCATAACCAAGGACGAAAAAGGGTATAACCCATTGTAGGTTAACCTTGATCATACTTAGGTTGATCTAAGTTGTCCATACCTACTGAGTGAGTTGGGTTTAACAGTATTCCAGTGTTATCACGGCGTGTCAGCTAAATAAAGGAGGAAAGCCCGAAGTGGTGCAGATCTCGGGCGTTATCCACCTCCGTGAAATCGACGAGCACGGGTATCGTGCTGACAAACCTAGACGCATAGCGGGGCTAAGCGGGATTCGAACACACAATCATAGCGAATCGAGGCGTCTTAGACGACTGAGCCACCTGGGGGGGGGGGGGGGGGGGGGGGCGGTACTGTGGTTCCCAATGTTCCTGTGACGCCACCGTAAAAGCAAATTAGTTTCATTTATTGATTCGATCAATAATAAAATCAATAGTATTACCGTGGCATTAATAAGATATGTGTATTCTGATATGCATCATGGAAATTTAATTTTCGATTGATGATATGAATATTTTAGAATCAAAAATGCAAAATCCGTTGTGTGGCATCTCTGTTTGTTGTTCTGCGCCTTATTTTGAACTCTCTTGCCATTTCAAGTGCATTATTAACGAGACATAGCACAATAGCAGCTTTGTCAAGCAATGAAACACTCTCACAGTTGTCTGTTGTAGCAATACACATAGACGTTGTGTTTCTCCTTTACTTACAGCCATTTTGTTTTATACCATAAGTATCATTGTGTGCGTTTTACTTCGGGTACTACCCTAGGTTAACCTTGAATGATACTGGTTAACTCAGGACGAATCTCATCAACCCTGGATGCAAGACATCAGTTAATCTCAGTTGAGGTTGAGTTGAGTCGACAAAATGCCCTGAAAGTCAGTAGAGGCTGTAGTTGCAGCATTTGATTTTGAAGGCCCAATATCCAACACGTCTGTTTGGTATTGAGTTATACGAGGTATTACCAGACGTGAGATGTCAGGAAATAAAATAGCCAATAAATTCTGTTATACCATGGCTCAGTGTTACCTGGCAACATCGATATACGTATATTGGTCGGATTACGGTCTGTTTCCAAATTGGAAGCGAACCATGCAATAGACAACAGGGAATTACAGATGGAATGTTCTATCATCTACTGTAAGCTGAATCTTGTGACTCTTAATGGCCTAGGTTGTCAAGATGTTGTTTTGGCGAGAGAAGCGGTGCAACCTTCTGTCAATTATTCACTTTCCATTGCATCGCTATCTGAGGGCAATCCCCAAAGGTCCATCTGTTAGGGGCGGTGTATTGTAATATATTCACCAGTTTGCTTTCGCTGCCAGTACCATCTCTCAACAGGGCCTAAACCTCAGATTATCAGCAACTACATGTACGTCAAAAACTGGCAATCTACGGGTTCCTTGGGAGCATAAACAATGTGTACAAGATTTTGCAAGCGCATAAGGTGACTAAATCAGATAATGATATAAGTGTTCTCTATACAATATTTATAAAGGAGCTCAGAAGTATTGGAAATGCTCCACACAGGTGTCAATTATTAACATGTTTAATGACTTCTGCATGCTCTTTGGCGTTTGATCAATGTTACAACTTTAAAGTGAGTGAGTGAGTATGAAACCTGGACTCATTTGTGAAGAGTATATTGTCAACAGTATTTGGTGTATCGCTGGACGTATGTGCCGGATGTTGTGCTCCACCAAGCGGTTACTTACGGTTCTGCCACTAAATGGACTCAGGAATTGTCAGAGCTGTTAACGTGACAGTTTGGTATAGATTCCGTAGATGCACCAACCGGATAAGGTTGTCTTGTTGACGTGACATCATACGTGGACGACCGTGGCATAAGTGTTGCCCTGCTGAAGATAACGTCTTCAAAGAGATGGTATTGTGTTTCGATGAACATTAAAATGTCTGTACACGTTTTGCGCGTACCATCGACGTTGACGTTGATTTTCATCATAAATATTTACGGTAAAACAAAAGTGTTTTTTTTATGAGCACCTGATAGCTAAACAATCATTGTATGCTGTTGACATTAATAAAACACGTGTGTGAGTTTCATGCTATCAACAGACACGCAAACATCCAAATTGTGTGCCGTACATGGACATGCACGTTCAAATTTACGACCTTAAAGTCACGGTATCTCTTCATGAAGATGTATTTGAAGATGCATTAATTAATTTCAGAATAAATATATTTAAATTTAACTGTATATTTGCTTTCTTCCGTTAGTATATATGAGTGAGTGAGTGAGTATGCTTTTACGTCGCTTTTAGCAATATTCCAGCAATATCACGGCGGAGAACACCAGAAATGTAGTATATATGAATCATACGTATTTTTCAGTTATATTTACTTAATTATTATCCTCTCATATTATAATTTAAACAACCATCCCATTAGTGTAGTTAATACAGCGTACGCCACTAGACCGCAAGGTCGGTGGTTCTGTCTTTCGGCCTTGTCATACCAAGAATCTTTAAAAGCTTATAATTGCTGTTACCCTACCTGGCATTCGGATTTAAGGGGATAAAACAAGGACTAGTCGGCTCGGATTCCTAGCTAAAATAGCGAACACCTGGTGTCAATACTGATTTTCAGTAATACATTTTATATATTATGATTTCCTCTGCTATTGTACCTTTGACGACAAATGGAATCTGTTTCGTCAGATAACCGACACTGGTTACTCTCTGGCGTTAACTTAATATACTTACATGTAATTGTTTAAGCTGTCGGTGATATATATATTGTTATATTAACGATGCCAGTTTTCAATATCAATATGCACCATAATCACCATCAACATAAATATATGTTTTACACTTTTTGATATGGGTGTTAGTAGCTGAAGCCACCACTATAACCCGACATAGCGTGCACCGTGATTTTGATGTCAAAACGTTAATGGACATGCAAGGCAGAATCACGGACGCCCGATGAACAACTCGATGCAGTAGATGTGTCCACATGCGTCTTGTAAATTGTGACGTTACTTCATTGATTGAATAATGTGTTGTGGAATCTGTTTTGGCAGATACTAGACTATTCAAGACTGATTAATTTCTTGCGTTGACGTTTAGTAGGTAATCAGTTGATGTAATGTTTCCACTAGACAGCCTGTCATTATGTAAAATATACATTTCCAGCTTAAGTAGCTTGGCTCAACCAGACCTGGTGATAGCGACTGGCAAGATCAAGTGGACACGGAGTCCACCAACCTTTATTAAATGAATCTCACACCTCTCAGCAAAGTCTGGCTGAGTCCGACTGTCTCCTGACACTATAACCAAGAATCCAATGAATAATTATGCATTTTGGTTTCAGACGGCGGACTGTCTTCCTTTCTCGGCAGGTTTATGTGACTGTCTTCAAGCTATCGAATCCCACGCAATGCAAGGTACGAGGCAATCAGTTATTAGACTTGATGATTAGAGTGTTGGGTGTGTAATTCCTAAAGTGCCAAACGTGTCTTGTGCAAGTTCCAGCTGGACACTATCATAACCTTCAAACTGACGCTCAGTTAAATCCGGAAGTCCAAGTTTAGACCTTATACTTGACGCAGCACATTATACCTTCGCCAAGTAGCAAAGACCGCCATTAAACTGGTACCTGGAGTCTGTTTTGTACCGACCGTTATCAAGCCTCTTGTAGATTCAATAAGCAGCTTTTACCGGATACTGGTTTCCAAATGTGTTTCGCTAACGAAACAAATTTTCCAGCGTTTATTGTATTACCTAAAGTGAAGGACTGTTATATATTGACTGTCGTTAGAAAGGCACAGGCTTAGACAGCAAATCGGAATCAATATTTTTAGCTTCTTCATTAGTACACCGTGATGACCAACAAGATTTCTGCATTCATAGACACGTATTGTTTCTGTAGACCCGGTCCCTACCTCCTTACTTAAAATGTTCATACGCTCGGTTCGTGATAACGGGATTCGACTCTATCGTTACGTTAAAACACAACAACATTACGATTCATATCTGCTCTTTATTGTATTTGCAAGTGCTACAAGACAAGTGTAAATGTAAAGAAAATAGAAACAATAATATGCAAAAATATGATGCATAAGTCGAATTATAATGGCTCTATCACATTCTATAGTTATTGACTTCAGAAGGCGTATATAGTACATTTGGTATATCTCACATCATATCATTAGCACATATTGACGGCACTTCTTTGTTTCGACGTTGAAGCATGTTACAACATACCATCTATCTTTTAACCTACAAGAAAGAACGTTCCTTATAACGTAAACTAGTATGGACATGTATTGGCACAGTTCAGTGTAAGTTCGAGATTGGGCAAGAAAAGTGAAAACCTCGATTCTTAACAGTCCAGTTTCAAAGATGCGTTGTGAACCGTAGATACACAGATGCCAACATAGCATGACGTGTTAAAGTTCCATTGATCTTTTGTATTTAAGAAGAACTATTTGCAGGGATTGACTTTGCAATTCTTTGGCAATATTGGGTTCTTAAAAATTATCCTTGGTTTCATTTAAGTATGTTTCAATGCGCATCATGATCATGATGAATCAGTGTTTGATAATTCATACTTGTGTTCTAACACGTTCTGCTCGAGCTATTATGTCTTGGAGCACTAATATGAACCGGTAAATATACCAATTGTGCTTATAAAAACCGGTTCATGTTCATTAAAGGTAACACAGCACAGATAAACTCGCATGGCTTAAATGTATAACCATTAGTAGGTGTTTATATGTCTATATCAAATGCAGTGAAAATGAAATAATAAACATATTAAGAGAGTATATTGTAACAACATGTGACCTTTGTGACTTTTATTATTATTTTTTACAATTAACATTATCTGATATGAAACTATATGAACATATCAAACTGTGAAATGAGGATTACACGCGCGGAATAAGGTTTAGACGTATGGAATGTAAACAAATAAGTGACAATACAGAACAACAATCATGAATATGTTGACCTGCAATATACTTTTGTAACAGGGGCAAATGCAAGTTATTGCTATTTCCAGATGTTCCACAACAATGATTCCAGTCAGTAACATGAGCATGTTAAAAAACAATGTGTTTGTTCTCTTAAATATCTGAACGTTTCCTTTCTTGCCTATCTCCAGAAGAAGCAGCACCAGTTGTTCATATGAGCTGGTGTTTCGTTATTTTGGTTATTTTGTATCACGACATACCAATATGCGATAAAGGCAACAACCTTTACCTAAATTACATACGTCTACTTCCCGTACAATGCTGGAAAACGTGCAGTGGATTCGCACTTGAAGTATCAGTCTTTGCATGACGACAATATCCTGCAAATGACAACCCGTATGTCGCCGCAGACTTTTCACTGTCTGGAGCAGGTTCCAATCAATGGCAATGTACAACTTGTGTATACCCATAACAGTTTTAACCTGTCTACAATAATAGGTGCAATACATACATGGACATCGATTAGTGCCAAGGAAAGGTACGCCTTCCAGGAGAATTTAAGAGTCAATACCGTTGAATTAACGTCTTCTGTTCATTGCGTATTTACGATTATGAACTATATAATCGTAATGCACAATACGTCCAGTAACACACGACATCGACAAAATCAGTGGCTCACAAAAACGCTTTAACGAAATACTGTTTGGCATAGAAGAGATTTTAAAATATTTTTGATTTACAATTCATGTCAAAAGGGTTTTTTTTACCAAATTTTATCATCAAAAATTGGCTCCCACGGGAGATATCGCCAGGGTGAGATCAAGCGATATCTACATTGTAGATATCGCTGCAATGAAATTGCATCACAATGCTTTCCAGACCATTGTGACGTCATTGGTTAGCATGACGTCACAAACAAATGACATCACTAATGACTGCGACTGGAGCTGTTAGCAGTATTTTTTACAACTAAGACACTGCTTATTACTGTCTTCAAACTGAAAATGTTGGAAGAATGATGTTAGGTGATACCTATCACCCTCGTGTCTTTTGATATCAAAATACACTCGGGTGAGATTCTCTATTTATCAGCACATAGGTTTGTTAAAAGACGTCTCTTTTGCCTTTGCGTTTGCATGCATACAACTAAAAGAAAGTAATCAAACTGAAGTAAACAATGTGACAACATACATATATTTGAAATACTCTAAATATTTAAACTTTCTTCAATAAATAGTTTTTTTGGATAATGTGATCTTTTTGTCAATTGTAATTACCGAAAAGGTATATGGTTTTGTTAAGAAGTGTTCTAAATTTGTCTCGTATAAATCTGTAAAAAAACATGTCATATGCCGTAGATAAATCATTTCTTTTGAATAAGCATCATCAAATACTTAGAGAAGCTAAGAGGGAAAACATGATAAAAGATTAAATAGTCGGTGTAAACAAATACCGTAAATCCTTCAATTAATGCTTGCCGTCAATAAAGTTTCAATGTTTCAGCAAGAATACGCCACCAACGCCTTTAAAAAGGCGTTTAATCAAGGATTTACGGTTTGCACTGATACAGAATTTATCTAGGGCAAAATATCACAATGCATACATAAATAAGTAGCAAGAAAAACGAAGATCAATTATTCGTGATTGCTGAATCACATCTTTATGTTTTAATACGTTTGTTGTGTGTTTGCTAGGGATAATTATTACTATTACTGTGGAAGTTGTAAAATCTCACCAACTTTATGGATATACATACATAAGGGTTTGGCTTGTAAATGTTTTGAGTAGCATTTAGTGTGTTTCTAGTGAAGTATGGTTCTTCGTCGTACAAACATCTGTTTATTGATTTTTAAATGATTTCCAAAGCTTTATTTCATCATCAAATACATACTTAAGGGTGAGTGAACGCAATTCGTTTAAATTTGAATGTCATCTGTGAACTTATTCAAAATGGCTTTAGCATGTTACTGTCTCGTGCATTTGACGCTAAATGGCTTTTGCCAAAGCAAGGCATTTATATTACTGGCTTTGATTAGTTTTGCATTAGCCCCATTCCAGAATTTCATTCAGTCAGCATTTTCAAAAGTGAATGCTTCCGCGTATGCACATGTTCTTTGGTTTTATCACTTCATGCATATAATGATCCCATCAGCCTTCGCAGGAATACCGGTGGTCATGACAATGTGTTCTAAGGACGCAACCATTTGACTTCAGGGGTTGGGGGCGGGATTTCTTTCTAAAAACATAATCAAGCCCCTGTTTTTTCTGAAAATTCTGTACGTATACCTCGATAATGTGCCCTTTTCTCGCAGGCTATATGAAAGTGTCCCAAAATAAAGTTTGTTATTTTTTAGTTTTTTAATAAAATTCAAAAATAGAGTACCTTATTATGTTAGTAATAATAATTGATCTCCTCACAAATTCGGATCTCTCACACACACACGCACACACACAAACACCTCCCCTCAAATCAAATTGTTGCTCCCTAGTTGTCGGAATCCATTGCTCTTGTTTCGCATCCCAGCGTCTCCCAGATATAATAACCGTTTTCGACGTAATAAGCTACCCGCTCTAATAAGCCCCCACGGCGATATCTGCCAATATATTGGCTTGTGAACAATCCCAACTAGCACCCCTTCCGATTGATCAATGTACACAAGACTTATTTATTCGTGTATAATACGTGTGTTATATACATCCATAGTTATGGGAAATTACATTCTGGAAAAATATATCTGTCGTATATAAACATTTCAGGCTGTCAGCATAAACCACGAAATTTACGATCTTTCAACACCAAAATCTTATTATAATAAGAGCGCCCTGGGCGCTTATTATGTCGATTACGGTATTGGTTTATCTGCATAATATCTACAGCCGTTGGATCTCGCCTAAGTGGCAAGCGTCTACAAATAGTCTCTTGGGGGTTAACCCCCGAAATAAAGCCGTGATTTAACTGAAACATTGTTAACGGCGGCGTTAAGTCCAACTCACGCAGCAACCGGTTTGACTTCGACGCCATTCATTGGTGATTAATAAATTCTTGTCGTTATTCTAGTTATCAGTAAAGTCCTTCGGGTCGAAGCATAACATTAGAAAAATGAAGATTGCGCGAATACTTAATTAGCTTCATCTGATTGCTTATTTTAGCTAATATGAAACATGAATGATGAGTTTGTTTGTTTCGTTCATTCCTGCTTCAGCTTCATTCCATTCAACATGGGCTCAACAAATTTCTCAAATCAGAAAATGGTTTTAATAAAACATCGAAGTCGAAATATGGTGCAAGAATTTAAAATTTCCCGCTTCCTTTTGGAGGTAGATTGTAGCACGCCCTCATGAGCAGGTCGAAGTAACAGTCGTCTTCTATCGTGGCACTGACGCCGGAATAGTAGTTTATCCATTCGTCCCTAGTGACCTTGCCGTCTGGAGAGCCAGGTGTGTCTATGGAATCTAGGAAGTTCTGGAGCGTCTCATCTTCTGTCCACTCCCCTGATAAATACTTCGGATGCCTTCGTGCGTTAGCAGCATAAACAACTGAAAATAGACAACAAACGTGCATAATTAATGGTGCACGATAACATTTTAGCTGAAACTATCAAGTTTGCTGACTAAAGTTTGTGTTGGATATGTGTAGGATCGAGCGCTTGTTTTGTTGCGATAATGTATATACTCCCCGTAGGTGTAGAGTTGTAGGTAATATTATTTTCAGTAATTCTCCCTGAACACGGTGATTTATGTTTCATTCTCTTTGGCCAGTTCCTTGCAATTGTTCTATGGTTTGCGAAAAGGTCATAGCAACGTTGCGTCATGTGAACGAATGTCGATATGAAGTCACAGACGATGTAACGTGAGATCGTTCCAACACTAGACTCACTGAGTATCATGATCATCACCACCGGAGATCAACAATATTTCTACATTTTCCAAAACCATGCATCCTTGAAAAAATAGTGACCGATATTACGAGCAACGATCTACGCCATCAGGATACGCTCAGACACAATCAACCAAGTCACCGAGCCTGACCTTCCGGTCCATTAAGTCGCCTCGTTCGACAAGCACAGCTGATTGCTGGGGACCCATTCCAACTCAGAATCCCCACGGTGGTAGTACAACTCTGAACAGACATTCGACAAAGTAAGTGGAATGTATTTTTTCCTATTTTTCTTTAATCCAATTCCAACGCAATGGCCAGGAAGACGATTCGTGAATTACGTGTCAGGTCGGTATTCGATTGTTTACAGACCGCCGTCGTATGACAGGACTACTGCTCTGCGGCTTCAGGCAACAGAAAAAACGTATTTCTTTATGCAAATTGTGTATTTGGCGGGTTCTACTGGTGGGACAGGACATGTTAAGTGTTTTCGCGAACACTGGTGCCATACCCGACTTTCAATTATAATTTCCATCGCTATTTTGCATCTTACGCCCAATGGAATCTGTTTACTAATACTCTTGACTAATTATTCTCTGGCGTTAATTTATATATTTAATTAGTTATTATACTTGCTAAAAGAAAACACGACTACAGAAGGTCAGTTTGCAAACACGATAGCTGATTACCAACCTGTTTAGGCAGTATTGCCTGCCATAATCACTTTATGAGTTTGAAAATGATCAGCCTAATTAACCTATACTCAATATAACGATACGTTGCAAAGTCCTAGATGTAGAAGAAGATAGACTGCGGTGTAATCTTGTAAAGTCGTGTTTTGTATCAATATCAACGATTTGTGGATCAATGCTCCAAGGAAGCTTAGTCCGAATGATTAACTCATGCCACGTGGTAGTCTAGACGGGAACCTTGATGGCATTAAGTGACAAAGTATCATTTATCACAAAACGAATCAAATCGAGAACTCGTAATACTGTTGGTTTTGTTGTTTGAATCGGGAAAAATACTTCCCCTTTCACTTCATATACACCATATCATTACCGCTGAATTGTGCAGCTTTCGATTTGAGGCAGCACCTGAGAATAGCTTGGATTACCGTATCCTCTAATCCGTTTATCGTTAAATGTCAGTCTTTCTATATGCCACTTCTGGGGGCTGCTGATTAGAATCTGCTGATGTGCGCTCTTGGGCTTACAAAGCAATTCTACATCTCAGATTATTTCCTTATCATATCACATATAACATTATCTATGAAAACAAAAACCGATACGGTTAAAAGAAATTAAACAGTATGCGGCCTTCGAGTAGAAGGGGACGTTTTTGTGATTTAATATAAATCCTTATTCAACGTTAAAAATATTTTATGATTTGTGGCTAATCGAAATTGTAGATGTGCGGTTTAAATCCCAAACCGCACGTTTGCGAATCGTCGCTCTAACGGACAAAAAGTAGATCAAATGATAACACAAAAATAATTAACGATAGACGGATGAGAGGATACTGTAACATGAGACTAAATGTTGGATGGTGAAATTAGAGAGAATGGGAGTAGGGTCATGACCTCCACATAGCGTTAAGACAAACAGGTGGATTGTAACATCAACATCAAACACACTAGCTAACACCCACATTCCACACAATCCAGGAAGCGTCTGGTCTTGTGTTATAGCTGTTGGATGGATCAGTGAGAATCAAGAGAGGACCGACCTACAGCGTCAGAACAAACTGAAGATGGATCGCTATAGCAGTGTCAAACAATACTCACACCAGCATCACACCCAGACAATAACCTTTCCGTGTGTTGGAAGATGTACATTGTACACGTATGTAGTTGTAGGGTTTTCAACCATGAAGTGAGAAAGTGAGATGTTTCGGATAATTTAAAAGCTCATTTCAATTGGAAGTGCTGTAATGTTGCCAGCGTAACGAGGAACCACAGTTTGGCGTCAATGACAGTGAAAGCAAAATCACCGAGCGTACAGCAGATAAACTGCAGGTTAGGATGAACACAACTGTACTCAGTCTGACATTCACTAATGTAATGCAAAGCTCTAAGAATGTGGTATAGTTGCCAAAGTATTACCTTAAGCTTAAAACCACACCAAAACACAATTACCGAACAATCATACTATTTCAAAGGTATTCGCAGTCATTTGATATTCAGCAGTTTAGGGAAAGGGGAAGGTTTTGTATGCAGCGGTACAGCGTCTATAGAAGCCAGTGTTGAAAAGGGGCCGTAGGGTAGCCTTGTGGTTATAGCGTATGTGGTTCATTTGTATGGTTTACCAAAGTACATATATCAACTACGATAACACCATTGTCAAAGAGATGGGGGCGGTGAGGTAACCAAGCGTTCACTCGTCTAGCTAAAGACCCAGGTTCGATTCCCCACTTGGGTACAATGTGTGATGCCCATTTCTGGTGTCCCCCGCCGTGATACTGCTGGAATATTGCTAAATGCGACTTGAACCCATACACACTCACCAAATGTTGAGAACCAATTACAATCCCTAACAAACTTGAAACTGCACACGACTATGTATTAGTCACATTCCTTTTAATAAGGGGCGGTCGGGTAGCGTGGTAGTTAAAGCGTTCGCTCGTCAGTCCGAAGACCTGGGTTCGATTCCCGACATGGGTACAATGTGTGAAGCCCATTTCTTGTGATATTGCTGGACTATTGCTAAAAGCGGCGTTAAGCCAAACTCACTCACTCCTTTTAATAATTTGCTATACTTACAGCATATTGTGGTTTTCAACAATGAAAACGGGTAGGATATCACCCTGCATTCTTTTCCTGAAGTGTTAACCTCACACTAGTATATTTCTATGTATGCGTGGGGCGTATATTAGAGTTTGCAATTAAACATCATATATTTTAATGATTTGAATTGAGAGCATCCATTCTCTAAATCCGCCTATGCGATATTGTGTTAGGTGATGACACACGTCAGAATTACCATAACCACAGGAACAACATAAATACTTCAGGAATCTCATATTTAATGAATCGTTCAGAAGGCGCCGGATTTCCATTGATCTGTTAACAATTTTAAGTTGAGACTTTGATGTACATATTCAAACACAAACCAATAAATGTGATTTCGTAACCAAGCAACCTGTATCCCATCATACATGGACGTCAAAAAGATGCCAGGAACTGTGAAAACATCAATAATTCACGGACAGATGTCGGTCATCTGTTTTTCAGAAGCCAAAGAAATATTTCCAATTGTTATGCCATGAACGCCAGTCTTGGGTGCCCCAATGCATGTGTATAAGAAAGTGGTGTGTTCCGCCTCAGCCTTTCCAGCTGCAAATGCCATTGCTTCAAGGCAAAAGCATATGGATAAAGAAAATATATCCCATTATTTGGTATTTCAATACGTTCCTACAGTGTGAATGGACAAATGACCTGGGTGAGTGAATGAGTGAGTGAGTTGGGTTTAACACCGCTTTTAACAGTATTCCAGTTATATCACCGCGTGTCAGCTTAATGTGGGAGGAAATCCCGAAGTGATGCCGGTCTCAGACGTTTACCACTTCGGTAAAACCCACGCGCACGGGTATGGTGCTGACAAACCTAGAAACATAATCGTGGTGAACCGGGATTCGAACCCACAATCATAGGTTTCTGGCGTGTCCAAGGGACGCATTATTGCACAGCGAATCGCGGCGCCTTAGACGACTGGGCCACCCGTGCGCCCAAATGACCTGGAAAAGAATGTGTGACACATGCATTGTTTAAGGAACACATATGCAGACATTCCAAATTGTACAGAGACACAATGCACTTGTACATAGGATGGTTCTTAAAATAACATGTTCGATCGAAACATAAACTGCATTTCAACGAAATCAGTGATAATGAAAAGGTTATGTCTGTAAGTCAAAACACCAAAATCATATTAGCAAGCCTTCATTATACAGTCTACTTGCCTGTTCATCATCATGTCAAGAATTGTATGATCAATTTTCTATTGAAAGGGGTTGCCTGGTTCATGTTGTGTAAGCTTGATTGACTTGTTCACCAGTCTCACACATGTTACGGACATCAAAGTGGAGGTTACAGGGTAAGAGTTAAAGACTACGTTCTCTTCCCTGTCGTGCAATAAACAGATTTACCAATGTGTGACGATCAAACATTCAAACAGTGCAACGCCGGTAAACAGTGTTTACTGATCCTGACACGACGTCGACTTTATGTATGGGGCTTTTATTTAAAACAGAACAAAGTGTACTTTCTAATCTTTCGATTGTTTCATCTGTCAGGATTCATTTTAAAAATATAAAACACAAAAAGTGCAAATGTAATTTATTATCTTCGAGGGCAAACATATCGGGGTATATAAAAATCATATGTGTCCTAGGGTCATATCACGTCACAATGTGTTTTTTCCGTCATCCGGATGGCTTTGTTGACGTCATTCGAATCTTATTAAGACTTGGTCGGAATGACGTCACATCAGAAACGACGTCATACCTGAAGATTGTTGACGTCATTGGACACATTGTGTTTCCGCTGTTGCGACTTTTGTCCTTATAGGTAAACACTAAAATTTATCTCTGTATGTAGACATCTTCGGTAATAAATAGAACATAACATGAGTGTTCATGTCATACTACGGTTACAACACTC